CCAGAGTGACAGTATTGTGTGGCATTCATTTGCCCTGTTTCTCTTTCCTGGAATGCATGTGCAACAACGTATTGCACGTCTCAAGGACGAACCCACTGACGTCACGGAACGTGGCACGTGCATGCATGTTGGATACATGTCACTAATCTCTGAGTCTGAATCCTTATGTGTCCACACAGGTTTGATAAACTTAGATTTTAAATTTTTGTATGCACAGTTTTTTTATGTGCCTAGTATATATACAAATTTCCACAATACTGGACTCCATGAACTGCCAGCGTTTATGTACAGGTATGTCAGAGCACTAGAACACAAAGAAGATCCAAGATTCAGTCTGCACCTGTACACTGACCCATCTTCCAGAAACAGGAAACCAGTGATGCAAAATCTTTGAACAGAGGATCCACAGTACAGTTATCCGAACAATTGATTAGCATTGAAATAGAATGTTACACAAAATACAAATATATCACTTTTTCAACCAAGATATTTAACTGCTAACTACTAGTGTAATTAAGGTGCAAAGAATATATCCTATGTTCAAAGCTTCTCGTCAATACAATTACATATTTACATAATTGCTTCTTAAACAATGATAATCTTTATTATATTAGATCTGAGACTATATCCCTAGAATCCCATCAAATCCGGGTTAAATATATGTTTCAATATTCATTCCGTTACATGAATAGTCAACGGAGATTGTTGTAACTTAATACAGTTATTCTGTTCCAGGACTAGATAATGCCTGACCAGGGTTTGACCAAAACGTAGCCTTTGTTTTTTCAAATTCTCTGAATGTTGAAATAACGTTGATGAGTTATGATACTAGCAATCACTTTTGAAATTGTCTTATTAGTAAATATATTATTTGTAATACATTTAAAAGCAGGAGCCAACAAACTAAGTTAATACCAAGTGATTGCCCGGCCATGATATGCATAGTGTTTGTTTGCCTAGTCCTGCCTTAAAATCATATGAATCTGATATGTCAATCAATTAAATAATTATTTATAATTGATTAGATTATTATTTATTCTTTACCCTTTCACATTTACTAAAGAAAGCATGATTTATGAAACATACCTTGCTATCATATCCAGTGAATTAATAAAAATGTCAGTTGTAAGATTACCCCTAAAATGTACCAATATATGTGAATATTTTCATAATACACTTTATTTCACTCCTTCAAATTCTCCAGAAAGTCACTAGTCTTCTCACATAGTTTTCGTATTCGATCCACATGGAGGAAGGTAATTCAGTTCAAGATCCCATGCATCTCTTAATAAAATATCTGAAATATTTAAAGCATAATTTTATAGGCACTCATAAGAATTAATTTTGATATTTTATTTTTGATATTCTATGATAGGCAACTGCTGACACTGACTATATTTCTGTTTGAATAAAAAATAATATTACTCCCGAATATTTTGCACTATTAACAAGATACTGTAGGCCTTCAGATGTGCTTTTGAATAATAATAAATAGCTATCACTTAATATCACTTAATATTTGTTCAGCTTTGGTTTGTATATTTTCATACATGCAGTAACCATTTATTAAAAACACTTGCATTAATTTTATTTTTAGACAAATCAGAGTTTAATACTAAACCTCTATGCAATGCATAACATTTCACAAATTATTAATGATCCTTCCATCATACATTCGTTGTGGTTTTCAATAACTATAAGTCAGCTTTAATTAAGTGAACACAGTACAAAAACCATTATTATACACGCAAGTGTTACCACTATTTCAACAAACAAAAATGAGCATGTAATGAGCCTTGTCTTTGCTAAGAGACGGGGATTGTTTACATGCATATAGTTTGAAATAAATCAGACTCAGGTTACAATGGTTACTAAATTGCAATTTGTAAACAAAACAAAAGTGACAAATTCCTGTTAATTCTACTTCAGTTCAGAGTAACTTGCTGAAATACGATTACCACAACACTAATAAAAATGTTCTATGATCAGGAGAATTCAGGATACTTGATAAACAAAGGCGTTATTTACAAAAAACTTTCGCTGTGAAAAAAAAGCTGAATATCTGCGTCTACTTTCTCCCTTAATATCACGGGCAGATAACTCTAAATGACCGAGGTACGCAGATTTGCGGCAATGACACAAGAAAAGATTAAGGTCTAATTTCAGTAAGTTATATACTTCCTAAAAATACCAGACTTTTTGTGCGTGTACATTAATAATTATATTGAACGTATTTGCCAATACTTTGGCATACGTGTGAAGAGCAAAGTTCAACTTACCGTCGTTTCTTCGTCTTTCGTTGCCAGATGTTAGTTTTGCAAAATACGCACACCTGAACATGTGTACCAAGCGATAACATAAAAAAAATCGCATACCTGTAGTCAAAATATGTGTATTTGGACCTTAAATGTCGGCCTGTCCGTGGCCCAAATCGTCCGCAATTCAAAAAATAGCAAAGCGCCCCTAGCGGCGTCTGCGGTCCCTACTCCCGACCTGCGCGGTGTAACAATTCTATTATTAACGTGGCACAGTTGTCGATATCACAATTGTTGATATTTACGTCTGAGAGTGATTTGTCAATGCCATCAAGTATTTCTCGTGAGTGATCATCCAATAGCATTTGACGGAAACCATCAGCTTTGGCCTCTTTCCACTTAAACTTATCTCTAAGTTGGCTAACACCATCTTTTTGCTGAGCTTGACCGTTAATCTTAAATTAATTGTTCAAAATACACTGATCAGAAAATTCTAATATGTCACATATATAATAATAACACATCAAGAGATACCAGAACGTAACCTATGGAACTCTGTCCGTGTCTACCTACAAACGTATAATTACCTTTATCCCTATCGCTGCCTATACGACTATTTACTATATGAAATTGAAACGTTTTACAAAAATCTAATAATCTGATACCTGTCATTCATAAGGAAAATCCCCAATTTTATATATATATTTGTTCGGTGGTTGGGTCATCAGTTATATAATCCTCGGGGGGTAGGAGGTGATCACACTCACGTGTTCTATATAGTCTGGCTTCTGTCCTGTACGTGAGTTAAAAGTCATCCAGCACAGCAACTCCCCCATACTGTTTATATTCAGCAGTGTAAATAAATAAAATATCGTATGTGTCAACACCACTGTTTATCTCCTCCCTCAATGAATAATTTGGAACGCTATAAACGAAAAATAAAAACATATCTTTCTTCAAACCAAAGAAATATCTGTCTAGTCAAATACTCATTACATGTTTCTCATCCACATGAACTACTTCTACACCCTGGCACATCCATGAAGCAAACTAGGCTACTTTACCCCCTTTGCCCCTTTTCTGCGTGGGCGGGGCTTACAGTATGCCTCATACCCGGGTTATTCGTCCATGTTTCACCCAACAAAATAACGTCCTTATCCTGCAGGTGTTGTAGAAAGTCTCTATTTCCCAGTTTCCTAGTCAAGCTGCCATTGACATTCCACGTGAGCACTGACAGACTCCTAGGTGGCCGGTCCTAGGTCCGACCCCTCTCCCCGGTCACCGTGACCTCCCGCACCACCTCACCGTCTACCAACAGGCGGGCTGGGTATAGAATAGTTGCTTTCTTCCATCTTTCCTGGACTTCTTCAAATCATCTTGTAACTTCTCGCTCGCATTTCTGACTTCACTGACACCATAGGGTTTCCCTTTCAATGTTTTTGCTTGTTTTTTCACAAATTCTTTGTCCTTGAAATCCTCAAAATAAACAACAATAGGTCGTTGTTTACCAAGAGTACGCTTCCCCAACCTGTGTGCACGCCTTATTCTCAGTCTTGCAGCAGTGTCCGGAGAGATACCCATCTCCTGTGTCAAGAAGGCTACAATTAGTTTCTTACAATCCTCTTTCTAATTAACTACTGAATCATACTTCAACCCATAGAAAATCAAGTTCTTTCTTCTATTCCTGGTCGACAGCTCTCGATTCCAGTTGCGTATTTGTTTCCACTAGTTCAAAATAGTTCTTTTTCCACCTTTTCTGCATGTTCTTTGGTTGCCTTCAAATCTTTGTTGATATTTGGGATTGCTTTCAGTTCATTTTTAATAGCTGCAACCTTCTTGGACTTATGTGCAATGTTACACTGCATACTTTTCAAAAGTTAATCATTGTTTACCCAGACGTTTTTTAATCCCTTCAATGTTGGTGTTTATTTTCTGCACAGAGTTATTTACTTGCGAGAGAATTTCATTCACTTTCAAAATGGCTTCACTTACTGCGCCCAGCTCCAACCTCATGGCCATGATTTCCTCGTGCAGTGTGCCATCACACTCCAACTCGCATGGTGTAGATCCTTCTCTTTTTCTCTTACTTTTCTGCTTTCATGTCTCTTCTGTCTCCTTTTCTGTATCGCTCATGTCGACAGTATTCATATCGTTTTCGTTTTGAGCTTCTGCCATACTTGAAACAGTTTCTACCTTTCAAAATTAGCGTATTTAGCAGGGCCAAGCTGGGACACGTGGTCCCACGATTGACATCAGGATCTTTTGGAAGTTTCAAAGAAGAGCTCCCAGGGTCTATATGATCAGACGCTATTGATCAAGCAGCCACGGTGAATCTTGTTTGTTGGCTGACCCACCACCTATTCCGTCGGATTCGTTAAGCAATAAGCATGAGTTAGGATAGGGAAAATATGTATTTTTTTATGATTAAATTGATATTTGATACTTGTCCTGACTCATGATCTGAAGGGCCCTCCCAACCGTCCCCTCTCAGCACTACGGGCTTCACTGTAGGCCCTAGTGCGGGCTTATTTAGAAGAGATTGAGGCGAGCAAGGCTCAGGTCACCTGGGACCATTTTGGCGGGAAAGCGGGGCTCTACACGGGTGAGATTTTGACTGTTCTTGGGAACAAAGGGATTCGAGTTTGCACGAAACCGTTGAAAGGAGGAAGTAGATCAGCAATAAGCATGAGTCAGAGTAAGTATAAAATATCAATTTTATCATAAAAATTACATTGTCATTACTAGATCGTCTTCTATCAGCGGCACAGGTTGGCAATAACAACCAAATCGAAGTCGGACCAGCTGCGGACAACATAGACGCACTGCAAGTGGGGAGAAGCAACACATTTTCCATATCCAGTGGTGAGTTCTCATTTAAGCAATGCTTTCAGTCCATTGTGCATTATCCATCTGTTTCTGATGTAGGTTAGTTTCCACAACTAAACATAACAACTAGGAATAAAGGTTAAATAACGTGTAATGTCATTGCCAGATTGTCTTCTATCAGCGGCACAGGCTGGCGATAACAACCGTATTGAAGTCAAGCCTGGTGCTGACAGCATAGACACACAGCAAGTGGGGAGAAACAACACATTGTCCGTATCCAGTGGTAAGTGGATATTTTTGGGAATTATATATTCTGTCCATTGCGATCTCATGTACCAGTATGTGGTTTTTGTGTTTGTTATAAGCCTTAAAAAAGAATCTAATGTTTCTTACGTATCTGGGATTTTGTCTGGTTCTGCTGCTGTAGCTGAAAAAAGACCTGATCTCCATGCAATAACCCTGTTTCCGAATGTAGGTTATTTTCTATAACTAAGCATTTTTGTTTCAGGTCCTTCGACTCAGGGCTTAGAGTTTACCATAACGGCAACCGATGAACTGTGCCTTGAAATCAAGAGTCACATCGACAGAAACATTCCCCGCATAAACGTCCTCCTGAAACCACTGAAGGCCAGGGTTGAGTCCACAGATTTAGGATCTGTCATCATCAGGGTCACAGTGGAGCCGGGAACAAAACTTGGACCAGTTTGGCTAGGGGAAGTCATCACTACGATCCTGCCTGAAGACATCTTTGCTAAACTGCCAAAAGGTACCCGAATGGAAGTCTGCATCAGTGCATCTCTTCCACTCACCCCTCTGGACGTGGATATGTTCGGTAAATATACAATCGGTAATTTGCACTAATGTCAACTTCCAGTTCATAAGATAGTCAAGGGATTCATCTTACATGCTTGCAGTGAAACACAGTAATACAAATTCATAAAAATATGTCATAATTGGTATTATGAGATAAATTATTTAAATGCAGTTTTCACACACATTATGATCACTACGTATTAGTGGAATCAGTAATATTCAAAACGGTCAAATAGTGATATCAGTGATATTCAATGTTATTGTAAGTGCAGATGCTAATAGTACCGCCTCTTCTGTTTGAAGAAGACATATATTATAAATATGAAACGAGTTTTGTCCTCATTAGTAACATCCATATTCAATATTATCCGAGAAGATACTCTCTAATAATACTCAGAGGTTCAGAACTGGAGCGACCGCCTCTGTGGTGTAGTGGTTAGAGCGTCCGCCCGGAGAGCGGAGGGTCGCAGTTTCGAACCCCGGCCGCGTCATACCAAAAGACGTAAAAATATGGTACTTGTTGGTCCTTGCCTGGCGCTCGGCATTAATGGGTACAACAAGGCCTGGTCGGCTCAGAGTCAGTATAATGTGTCTGAGTGGGGTATTCATGCTTCACTGCGGCATGGTATCTCATTGAGCTAGCACTATAAAACCAGCCTAAGTCTGGGCTAGTAAAAGCAGCCGCACATACACATACACACGCATGCACGTCGTCATATGAGCGAAATATTCTCAAGCACGACGTTAAACCCAATTTCACCTCACCTCACCTCAGAACTGGAGCAAAGGAGTTACGCAATCAAGTGTCTAATAAAGCGAACGATGTGGGGATTCTGAGTGAAATACACCGAACACAAATCTAGTATAAAGACTGTCAAAACGATAAAATGGAATATTTCCATTTAACTCGACTGAACCATGTCATACATAGAGTCTTTGAAGGGCATTTAGAATTGATACACATAAAGGCAGAAATTTCACATGGATGTCAACTTCTTTGACGAGGCGGACGCTTTTGTGAAGCATTTTAGGTCACGACGTTTTGGAGTATATTCTTACTCCTTCATCAGGTGAATGAAACAGTTAGGAACAGACAGCTGTATATGTACATGTTAAAACAACAACAGTTATAAGATAACAATTTACATTAATAAGTCCCAAGAGCTAGGCTTGCAAGAGGCCATAGACATCAGAAGAAGCCAACCAGCAATCAATCGTGACCAGGGAACATATCTGCCTAGCGCTTGGGACTTATTAATGTAAATTAATCATCACTGCTGGCCTCATTGTCCTTGTAATTATTACTTTTAGGCCTGGCTTCCATTTGTTTTCTTACCCTCTGTTATATCCCACTATTGTTACCTCATCAACCATGCCCGGATTAACAATGCCTGGCTTCCACTTGTCCATCCATCACGTTAGTGCTAATTATATCCCCTTCCCCTGCTTCCATTTGTTTTTCTTATCCCCTGTTAATTGCCACCTTTGTTACCTTAATCATGCCTGGATTAGCAATCCCTGGCTTCCACTTGTCCATCTACCAATTAACTACTGGTTTCCCTTGTTATCTCATAACTGCTGTTGTTTTAACATGTACATATACAGCTGTCTGTTCCTGACTGTTTCATTCACCTGATGAAGGAGTAAGAATATACTTCGAAACGTCGTGACCCTTCACAATAAAGATGTTGAAATCCATAAAATTCTTGCCTTCATGTTATACATGGTGTGTTTATGACATAGCATTTTCAATTACTCAGTGTGTTTTTGCTAATTTTGTTTCAGAGTTAAAAGGTGAAAAATGGTATATTACAGAATACGCATCTGACATTACCAGGAAGGATGAAACAGGTCGTAGCATGCTCCACCAAGGGGCCATACTTGGATATAGGACTGTTGTCAGTTTAAGTCTAAAAGCTGGCTGCAATGTAGACCATCCAGATAGTTTTGGAAACACTGCTCTTCACTATGCAGCAATGTTAAAGGAAAATAGTGCGTCTGTGTCTAGGCTGCTTATTGAAGGAGGAACAAGCATTGAGGCGGTTAACAGAGTTGGATACACACCACTACATTGTGCTGTCGCTATGAAGAACTTGGAGATAGTTGAACTCTTTGCAGAAAAGTTTGGAAATAAAGAGAGCAATCCTACATCCAGCAACCCTACAGACGTATCATATCTTACAAAACTCATGGTCAAACATGGAGCAGAAGTCAACGCTCTCAACAAAGAAAAGCTCACACCATTACAAGTGGCTGCTTCGTGGCAAAGTTTTAATGTTGTGGCAGTTTTACTTACTGAAGGCGCTGACGCGAATGTTGTCGATACAAATGGTCAAACACCACTGCACCATGTATTTGGGTCAAACCAGAAAACTGGTGCAGTTACTAAGACATACAGACTAAAGGAAGCTCCGAGAAAAAGTCATGATGGGCCCCAATCTGTAGATACAGATAAACCTGATAATGATGGAGATAGTGAAGCTCCATCTTCAAAGTTTGACATACCAGATAGTAAAGGTAATACTCCACTCCACAGTGCACTCAAGGGAAACTTCACACAAGGAGCTATCACTCTAGTGAAAGCTGGGGCAAGTGTAACTATCAAGGACAATGTCATGGACACACCCCTCCATATACTTGCGAGAAATACAAACATGATGAATACTAACAGCGAAACTGATGCAGTAATGAAGGTTATTGAATGCAGCAGAGATATCAATGTTAAAGATAACAGTGGTAATACACCTTTGATGGTGGCTGTCGAGATGAACAAAGACATCTCACCGCTGCTCAAAGCTGGAGCTGATGTCAATGCTAAAAATGTACATGGCGATGCATCACTAATCATAGCTGTTCAAAGGGACCATGTGAAAATGGTAAAAACATTAATAAAGGCCGGATCTGATGTGAACACGAGCAAATCACGTGGTGATACAGCTTTGATGATAGCTGTAGAGAGGGGATGTAAGGAAAACGTTTTAGCAATAGTCCAATGTGGGGCGGATGTCAATGCTAAAAATGTACATTTTGGTGAAACAGCGCTCCACAAAGTTGCTAAGCATGCAATATCAAAGCAAGCGGTACATGCGAGAAGAAACGTTGAGGAAAAAGGTAAAACACCTTCAAGTCCATTCAACATAAGTCATGATATTGCAGACATTCTTGAAACTCTTCTCATAGCTGGAGCCGACATCAATGCCAAAGATCACAAAAGTAAAACACCTCTGATGACTGCTATAGAGGGAATTTCAAAGGAGAGAGAGGGAGAAAGTAACCTCATCCCACAATTAATTGCTGGGGGAGCTAATGTGAACGCTCAAGATTCGGTTGGTCAGACGCCCCTGATGATGGCTGTAGAAGCAGGACATGATATCTCACCACTACTCACAACTGGGGCAGATGTCAATTTAAAGAATAAATCTGGTAAAACAGCACTTCATCTTGTCTATGAAAACGGTTATGGCTTTGACACAATGACCGTCCCAAAACTGATAGCTGCTGGAGCTGACGTCAGTGCTCAAGATAGTGACGGTAACACGCCCCTGATGATGGCTGTAGAAGCAGGACATGATATCTCACCACTACTCACAACTGGGGCAGATGTCAATTCAAAGAATAAATCTGGTGAAACAGCGCTTCATCTTGTCTATGAAAACGGTTATGACTTTGACACAACAATCATCCCAAAACTGATTGCTGCTGGAGCTGACGTCAGTGCTCAAGATAATGACGGTAACACGCCCCTGATGATGGCTGTAGAAAGAGGACATGATATCTCACCACTACTCACAACTGGGGCAGATGTTAATTCAAAGAATATATCTGGTAAAACAGTGCTTCATCTTGTCTGTGAAAACGGTTATGGCTTTGACACAATGATCATCCCAAAACTGATTGCTGCTGGAGCTGACGTCAGTGCTCAAGATAATGACGGTAACACGCCCCTGATGATGGCTTTACAAGCAGGACATGATATCTCACCACTACTCATAACTGGGGCAGATGCCAATTCAAAGAATAAATCTGGTGAAACAGCGCTTCATCTTGCCTGTGAAAACAGTCATGGTTTGTTCACAATGATGATCCCAAAACTGATTGCTGCTGGAGCTGACGTCAGTGCTCAAGATAATGACGGTAACACGCCCCTGATGATGGCTGTAGAAGCAGGACGTGATATCTCACCACTACTCACAGCCGGGGCAGATGTTAATTTAAAGAATAAATCTGGTAAAACAGCACTGCATTTTGTCTCTGAAAACGGTTATGGCTTTGGCATAATGATCATCCCAAAACTGATTGCTGCTGGAGCTGACGTCAGTGCTCAAGATAATGACGGTAACACGCCTCTGATGATGGCTGTAAAAGCAAGACGTGATACCTCACCACTACTCACAACTGGGGCAGATGTCAATACAAAGAATAAATCTGGTAGAACAGCGCTTCATCTTGTCTATGAAAACGGTTATGGCTTTGCCACAATGATCATCCCAAAATTGATTGCTGCTGGAGCTGACGTCAGTGCTCAAGATAATGACGGTAACACGCCCCTGATGATGGCTGTAAAAGCAGGACATGATATCTCACCACTACTCATAACTGGGGCAGATGCCAATTCAAAGAATAAATCTGGTGAAACAGCGCTTCATCTTGCCTGTGAAAACAGTCATGGTTTGTACACAATGATGATCCCAAAACTGATTGCTGCTGGAGCTGACGTCAGTGCTCAAGATAATGACGGTAACACGCCCCTGATGATGGCTGTAGAAGCAGGACGTGATATCTCACCACTACTCACAGCCGGGGCAGATGTTAATTTAAAGAATAAATCTGGTAAAACAGCACTGCATTTTGTCTCTGAAAACGGTTATGGCTTTGGCATAATGACCATCCCAAAACTGATTGCTGCTGGAGCTGACGTCAGTGCTCAAGATAATGACGGTAACACGCCTCTGATGATGGCTGTAAAAGCAGGCCTTGATGTCTCACTACTACTCACAACTGGGGCAGATGCCAATTCAAAGAATAAATCTGGTAAAACAGCACTTCATCTTGTCTATAAAAACTGGTATGGCTTTGACACAATGACCGTCCCAAAACTGATTGCTGCTGGAGCTGACGTCGGTGCTCAAGATAATGACGGTAACACGCCTCTGATGATGGCCGTAGAAGCACGCCGTGATACCTCACCACTACTCACAACTGGGGCAGATGTCAATTCAAAGAATAAATCTGGTAAAACAGCGCTTCATCTTGTCTATGAAAACCATTATCGCTTTGACATAATGATCATCCCAAAACTGATTGCTGCTGGAGCTGACGTCAGTGCTCAAGATAATGACGGTAACACGCCCCTGATGATGGCTGTAAAAGCAGGACGTGATATCTCACCACTACTCACAGCCGGGGCAGATGTTAATTTAAAGAATAAATCTGGTAAAACAGCACAGCATTTTGTCTATGGAAACCGTGATGGCTTTGACACAATGATCATCCCAAAACTGATTGCTGCTGGAGCTGACGTCAGTGCTCAAGATAATGACGGTAACACGCCTCTGATGATGGCTGTAGAAGCAGGACGTGATATCTCACCACTACTCACAGCCGGGGCAGATGTTAATTTAAAGAATAAATCTGGTAAAACAGCACTGCATTTTGTCTCTAAAGGCAATCGTCTCTCTTCCCGTTCTCAAAAGACATTCAGTGTTTCCCGACTGATTGCTACAGGAGCTGACGTCAATGCTCAAGATAATGATGGCAACACATCTCTTCACATGTGTATAATGTATAATGATTACCATAATGCCATGGTATTATTGCACAATCCAGGGACTGACGTCGGTATTACAAATAGATCTGGACAATCAATGTTGCATCTGGCGGGAGTTATGGGCGAAAGCTTACCACTACAATATCATGGATATTCCCATTATCATTATACGAAAACGGAAATGGTGCGGGCAATCCTCAACAAGAATCCCGATCTCCATGCTCAGGACAAACGAGGCAGAAACCCTTTGGACATTGCAGAAACGTCAAGCGACAAAGTTCATGTGCTAAGACAGAAGCGTGTATCAACAAAAACTATAGACACATTCACGCCGAGAGACAGCACGATCAGCTCGAATGTTTTTTTGGATAAATATTAGAACGGTGTTACCAAAAAAACTTAAACAATAAGTCTGGAGTTTTGGTATATGTTCTACCATAATCATGCGATTGTTGCAGACAGTAATCGTTTCAATGATGTGACAGTTTGTGTACATTTAGCTGTCCTTACAATTTACTGCTGATTATCTTATTGTCCTCCTGAGAGGGTACGTAAGTTCCAAAATCTTTCAAAGTAAAATTTTCACGTCCTGTGTTTTTAAAAGTAGTATTCTTGTCATTTTAATTTGTGGCTAAATTTTCCTACAATCGCCAACAGCTGAAGGGATGGTGTAAATCCAGCTAGGGTCCATGCAGGTAGCAAAAGTAATGTAAGTCCCCATGGTTCCTAGTATGGTGATCTACCTTCAGTTGTTGGCGATCTATAACCCGTTTTCATATTGTATTGTCTTCGTAACTAAACTAGTTTTACATGTTCATGCTAGTTTTAGACTCCATCCGTGATACTCTAGTTATTTTACAATCCATTCGATGACTGATTATTTAGCAACTTTAATTTATTGTTTATGTAAAACATTTCTCGTCACTATATGGCTGAAATATTGCCGAGGTGACGTTAAATTCTAACTCACTCCCTCCCTCACTACTGCTGATTATCAAACGTGCTTTAAAAGATAAAAGATGAATGATTAGATTTTGTATGTATACTTGTTAGTCTATATATACACTTGGAGACTGTACAAACTACGAAGAAATAACCAGTTAATAAGAATGTACATATACATCATTATCTGCACATCATTAAGGGATATTTTTCATTTACCTATAGACATTTCAATGACAAACAAATAGTTTGTAGTATTTTATATGCATAATGTGAATGTACTGTGATTTAGTAGTAACTATTAAACTTCAAAAGTTTGGTTGTAAAATTTAGAATTTATATATTTTCAAGCGTTTGTTTGTAAGAATTACCATCCTTGCGAATTAGTTGTATTTCTTTGCTTTATGTGATGTATATATTTCACATCTAGTTGTGAGAGGTAGAGCTTTGTTTTGAGTACATACTGATTAATGTAATACTGGCGTTTATGAAAATGTTAGATGGTGGAAGTAAAAGGTTAAGAACGCAGAAGATGGTACCAGTTTGATTCTATAAATTGGAATGATTGAACATGTTCACTGTGGACAGCGCACTTCTTGTTCAATTCCCTTTTTTGCAGTTTTGAGTAGCATTGCCAGACGTGAAGAATCTGAATCATGTTCTATCCAACCTTGAGCGATATCAATTCTCCAATATTATTTTCGTTTGTTTGAACACTTGGATTTAATTTTCGTCTCAAAACACAAATGTAATACTCATAATTATTCGTGTGTAAAAGGGTACATAGTCTATAGTAAATCTTTAAATCTGCAAAAGAAGAAACGCAAAAGTGTTTTTCAAGCGTATTCCATATATTATAGAAATAATCAACAGATCTTAATGCTTTCCTATTTGGCACAAGTCATCAGTCGAATGTCAAGGTTAGGGTCATTTGTTCTCAGTATCGTTTATGGCCCCTATGAAAGTCCAGAACTGCCTGGCATCATCACCCTATGGAACCAGTCAGATTACGAACTGTGGATAGGGAAATGTTCACCCATTCTTCCTGCAGTGCTTGTCCTAACGGTTGGGGGTTACGTTGCTGTACTACGCAAATCGTGATCAATGGCATCACATATATGTAGGATGGGTGTAGATCTGGAGACCTTCAGGCCCACGACAGAACTTTGATTTTGAAATTCCTCAAAAGGCCGTTGTCAGTCTTGCCGTTTGCTTGCTGCATAAAGGGAATGTCGTGTGGTCGACGAATTTCATCTGTGTAATGTAGTGCCATTAAACTTCCCTGGGCATGTACCAAATCTGTTCTACCGGTATATGCGATGGCAGCTCGCATCGTTACACTGTCGTCATCACCTGTCAACGTCCTTTCCAGCATAATGTTCCCCTCGACGTATGTAAATATGGCGTCTTCCGTCTGTATGGTGAAGCAAAAAACGTGACACACTCTGTGTCCTTGACACCACTGACGTCTCAGCCGACAATACTGATCAGTCAGAATGACGCTTCGAACTGGTCGTCTCGGGCAAATAGTTGCGGTGCCAAGGCGTTTCCTACTATCTGATCTGAAATCCTACGCAATCCTGGCATTGCTGCAGCAGTAGAGTTCGCCGTGGTAAGTCTATCACGTAAGTGACAAACCAGGATCTGGGTAGGTCAATTGTTGACGGCTCCATAGTCTCGTAGTGGTGCTTTGCCATACGTGTAAAAATCTGGCGACGCCCGAAGCCGAATCGCCTGCAGTTGGCCAATGTCGCCGTTGCGTTGCACGTTTTCACTTTTACAGTTGAAAACTCGTTGTTCTCATTGCCCAACAATTTATGCTGCGCATTTATTTCATTTTGATGTGTTTGCAAACCACGCTCCAACGTTGCGTTTTAGCGCCCTCCGCACATCTAAGCTATTGTTTTTTGCTGTTATATTCTATCGGCATTCCCAATGCATGCATACATGTATGAATACACGAAAACTTCCGACAAGTATTTCTAATTTTACTACATTTGTGTTTCTTTTTCTTCTTTTTTTTTGAAGATAAGAGTATAAGTTTTGCAAATTAAAAATAAATATGCATTCGTCTTGAGCATAGTATGTTTGTATTCAGTACTTTTCAAAAGCAGTCATAACTGTAGCTGCAAGTTAATTCAGTCAGTAAGTTGACTTGATTTGTAGATATTTGTATTTTATCTGTACCCGTGGCACTGTTTTTATGACATTATCTATGGGTGCATTGATAAATGAAGTCCGCTCCTTGTATACAATTCTGATGTTAATCCTCGTTTTACATTGTATTTTACTTTTACAGATGTGTTTGTAATCGACACGTTTACGACATGCTATGAAAGATATTGGTTTTCCCTACCTGCCATGTAATGTGTAAACGCAAAGATACTGCATTTGTCAGCAGGCTTGTGGTATTTTCTGTGTCAACTCCTCTCGTACATATATATACGTATGTATATGTGTATATATATATGTCCAAAAATGATGTTTACTTGAGATCACTACGGACACAGTTTGTTAATTGTTATCCTTATTGTCCTCATTAGCCCTATTGTTTATAGTCTGACGGTTGTCATTGTAACCCGGTATGACTTTGTATTCTTATGTAGATTTTACTACACATTCCAGTTCACATGTATGGTTAAGTACATGCCTGAATGTCAAGCCGAGCGTATTTGCCAGCTTCACGAATGTACTGTTTCTTACTATACACAATGAACTTAATTAAGCAGCTGCTTCCCATGTATTTTTCCAATGATAGGTTTTCAACACGTACATAAAACTTGTAGTTGTGACCACGATGGAAAAACGTGTTTTTCTGACCCCTATGATCCTTTGACTCATAAAAAAAATAACAACATGATTGGCATCCATGTTGATTTTATGATGATAATTGCTCATTATTAAAACAAACACCCATTTTCATACAAAACCATGTCTGCACAAGTATGGCCCTGAAATGTTTTATGTTGAATTTATTGATGAATGTGAACATTCAACATGTAATTTTGCTTGTCTTACATGATTCAAGGTCAATACCGAGTGTAACCCTCATGTGACTGTCTTACAACCAGCAGTCTCCTCCTCATACCCCTGTTAGCCTCCTGATCCTCTGGAGGGGCAGTCTACGTGAGGTCTTCTCTTCTCGCCACCACCCTTTAAAGGATTAGGGATAATGCTGTTGTTACAAGCAGAGGGGTCGAATCATGCTAAGTTTTATCAGTCTAATTGGGGTGACCGAAATTTAGTATGTTTGCTGCCCAAGAAGGAGTATGATTGAATTGTGATTAAAAAGTTAAGTGTTCACTTTTGTTTTTCCAAGACGCATGTATAAATATACTCAAAGTCTAAGTCAAAAGATGTTTACGTTTTACTCCAGTTCTTCTAGTTTTGGCCTTAACAAAATGGTAAATGTACAGGCTAACGTAGTGTTTGTTGATAACAAATCTGACGGCAGAAACCTTCTTTATCAGGACTATAAGTTGAGAATTAAGAGACGAAGAGGAACCAATATCCATTGGAAATGCTGTGGTCCTTCCTTTCCCGGTACCATCGATACCACTGACGTAGGTGTTGAAATTAATGTACTTTTTAATATACTTTAATATTTTCATGTTTTTGGAATATGTATAAATTTACTATGTCAATGAGTATGAATTTACATATATAATGTATGTAAAAAAATCACTACCATTCAAATTGTACAACCACCAACATTAATTTTTTATGTCATGTATTTATTTTATTTTACTTGGTTGCTTTACTTACTAGTATATTTCTCCTTAAATGTATGAACTGCCCCCCCGCCACCTCTATTGTTCTGTCAATTAAAACGCCTGACTACGCTTCTAACAATAGGGAGGTGGCAAACCGAGACTACACCGTCTACGCCATTCCTGGTGTAAAGCACCTTCCAATTGGGACAGGTTCTGTACGGGAGGATCCCTTTGTTGCACGTGACGATCAATCATGTCCCAGATATACTCCAAAGTGTTAAGATCGTGGGAACAATCAACCGTGGGACATGTCAGGGGGGTTCTTAACTAAGTTCTTTGTGCATATTACGCTAAATATTGTTTGGTGACATTGTTTCACACGTTTATAAGTGTATGATATATAGAATGCATATATAGTTTTAATTTCTACAGATACATGCATATAATTTTTAGAATGATTGAGTGCGTGAGTATGGTTTTACGCCGCTTTCAGCAATATTCCAGCTATATCACGGCGGGGAACACCAGAAATGAGCTTCACACATTGTGCCTATGTGGGGAATCGAATCCGGGTCTTCGGTGTGACGAGCAAACGCCTTAACCACTAGGCTACCCCACCGCTCCATTTAGAATGAGCATAGACCAAACAATAGGTATCATTGTTCAAATAAGGATAAGTCCAGTTGTACTATTCAATGCCTTAAGGAATTGTTTGTGTGCGTTG